AACAATACTATCTACGTTTCCTTTATTTCTTTTTACTTGTACTTTAATACTAACGATAATATCCATGTTTCTTTTACTCCTTTTACTGTTTCTTTAACTCTTTTTACCTTAATACTAACAATAATAACAATATTTCTTTTATCTTTATATCTAATACTAACGTTACTATAGCTGTTTCTCTTCTTTTTACGTCTAATAATATTGTTACTCTACTCTTTCTTTTTTTTACTTTTATGTATTCTGTATATATTAATAAATACTTGTAATTTTTTATGATTATATCTAATAAAACATACATTATATAAACTTATAGTACAGAAAATGAAGTATTATTTATCGAAATATTTTGAAATATTACGAAATATTAAGTTGTGTAAAATCACAGAATATTACGAATCGTCAAATTATGGAACATTACGCATCATAGAATTTCGAAATATTTTAAAAAGTTGCGAAGTATTACGCAGTAAAATTACGGAATATTACGAATCGTAAAATTACGAAGCCTTGCATACAGTAATATTTCGAAATATTTTAAAAAGTTACAAAATATTACGCTTACGCAAACTTGCGGAGGGTCTGGAAGCTTACAAAATATTATGATGTGTAAACTTGCGCAACTTTTCGCACTATATAATTTCCTGATGATGGTGTTTGATTATTTATATAAAGGTCAAATTTTCCTGTCATATTTGTTAACATACTAAACGCCTGATCCATTTTGGCTTCAAAATTATCTAATCGTTGTGTATTTCCTTCTTGATTTTTTGGGGACGAAGGTGATGTACCCAGTGCAGTTGATGGTTCATATATGAACTTTTCTGTCTTAACTATTTTATTTACTTCATTATCTTCTTCCATAGGAGATAATGTATGAGTTTGTACATTTGGCGAAACATTCTTTTCAATATATACATCACGTGTTTGTTGAAATTCTTTTACCCTCTTATTATTATTATTCATGAACGTATTATCATCTTTAGCAAATAATAGATCTACTTGTCTATTACTCATCATCTCAGCTTGATTAATATGATTAATTTCTAAATTTGAAACCCTCTCATTCAATTTTTGTATCATATTCATGAATTTTTCCATCTGTCATTCCAATCTATCCAGCCTATCACCCTTATTATTAACTGGTATAGGATTAATATTCTGTTGATTCCAAGGTTTTCTTACTGGATCTCGTATCTCTTGTTGTTTTCCTTTTCCTTTTTAAGATTGAGATGGACCTTGACTTGATGTTAAAACATTTGCTCTCACATTGGATACTGTCTTAATTTTCTTTGCAGCCTCAGCATAACTTGAAGGACCTTGTAATGGCATTTCTTGTTCGACTTGCTCATCCCAATTGTGCATACCTTCTGACTCATCCGATTGATATTGTGAATTTCTAGGGAATAATGGTCTGAATCCTATACTTGGTCTGGATGCTTTTACTCCATATCTACTATAAATCTGTTGATACACTTCGTGTGTTGATGACAAGTTTCTTTTCCTTTGATTTTCTGGACATGTTCTGACTCGATGATAAGGAGAACCGCAAACATGGCACGTGACTGCATCATAATTAACGAAAACTAAACCTCGATTGTTGAAAGAGAATTTTTTTCCTAGGGCATTATTAAAGTCGTTCTCATTATCAAAAAAGACAAATGCAAACCTTTCTTTCTCATAATTTTTTGAAAACCTATTCTTAGGTACGAAACATGATTTCGCCTTCATTTGTATAATAATATCTTTCAAATCTGCAGCATATGTACCTACTGGTAAATTAGCTAATTTCAACCCATATTTAAAACGTAAATTTTTTTCATCCTTGATTAAATTAGATGGAAAAATCCTGAATGCATACTTGCAAAATCTCAATGACCATAAGTCTTTAAATTTTTCTTCTACTTGTTTACCGTTGAATCTAACTACTACTTCATAGCATAAATTTTTTACATTAAACTTGAGGGTTTTAATTGGTCCGAAACTTTTCAAATATACTTCTAACATCTGCTTGTCCACATCTAGTGGAACATCCCAGATTTTAATTTCATAATCATTAAGATTATCATGTTGCTGATTGTTGATTACTTCCAATTTAGCAAATCTTACATCATTATCATCTGCAATTTTCTTGGCACAAACTTCAGCCGCTTGTGCTTCTGTTTCATATGTTGCTCGAATCACCTTAATACCTTTAATGAAAGTTGGTGCCAATGAAATTAGCCCAAGCACATCCGAAATTTTCCTATAGACAAAATTTTTCTTAGCAATAATATTATCGCCTGGAAGACTGTCTTGCAGGATGAAGATACTAAAACGTTGAGTCTTCTTAATAATAGTCCAACCGTCATCTTTCTTCGCTTCTTTAGAAGTTGTATTCTGACTAGGGTGACTTGCGTTAGTTTGAGCATGTATAGAGGTCTCAAGCCCTACGTTAATATTACTATTCATCTGTATATGTTGCTGAGCTATCGAAGAGCTCATCGAAGCAGCCAAAATGCTACTTCCTGATGGTTGGGTAAATTCTACCCCTTCCATATTACTTTTCCCAAATTCTATAACGAAAAAACAATATTTTCTATGACTTAAACAATAATAAACGAAAAATATTTCTTCAAACTACTAGTGTGAAATTTGTAACTGAACAATCGGCGGGAAGAGTTTCCAGACTAGTAGTATTAATATTACAAATATTCTGCTAATTTTACATCTAATAATATATAATAAATTGAAATTAATTAATTGCGTGTAATATAAATCTGATATAATAAATTGATAAATTAAGTAGCAATTTGGAATCAATCGAAAGCATGTATTGATTCTATATTTTAATTTTTTTTACAATCGGACATAGCCTATTGATTACTTTTTAATAAATTATGTGTATATATTGATACAATTAACTAAAATGACATCAATCGGTAAGCTACTAAATAAGAAAAATGGATAACAATAGGTTAATCTAACAAGTAAATAAAAAAAAACTGAATAATAATAAGGTCAATCCTATTAATATCTAGTTGCGAACGAATAGGTACCCTATTGATAACCTTACTCTGCACGATTGGGGCCATTTTATAGTTACCAATCGGGTACCCTGCAAAAATAAATAAAAAAAATCGGAGACCATCTAGGTCCTTTTAGGATAGCCTAGATGGTCCCTGATTTGGCAGCTTTCGATCTGTATTTATTTACATAATATTTATTAAAATTGTAATGCATTACAGTCACCCCTCTCTACAACGAACCTTGATATAGCGAATAATTTGATATAACAGATCATCCAGTGTAGTACCAATTTTAAATATAAAATAAACCTTGATATAACGAAGTTTACTATTTATTTACTGTATAATGTAATACAAAGTAAAGTGTGTGAATTACTTATATAAACATAACATTTGATATAACGGATTTTTTTACAACGAATTTTTTTTTCATTATAACGAAGAATTATTGCGGTTTTTAATTGAACATTCTTTAGTAATACTGGTAAATTTTTTGTAATTTTTTATATAAGATAATTTACCCCTTGTTATTTTGTTAAATATTGTAATAATTATTTATATAAAAATAGATTTTTACACTGTACTTATCGTTATTTTCATTTATTCCTCTCTTTTGATATCAATAATATGCCAAAAGAAACTCCTAGAAAGCGTAAATCATTTACATCAGCCCAAAAAAAAGAGATTTGCTTAAAGAAAATATCCACTCCTTTTTTAAAACAAAAGGACTTAGCAAAAGAATATGATGTTAGTGAAGGAATAGTGAGTGATATTCTGAAAGAGAAAGACTGATGGCTTGCAATTAAGGATGGTCATCGGTCCTACCGGTCCTACTCGGTCCTGGACCGGTCGGTCCCAGGACTTGTAGGACCGGACCGCGGTCTTGCATTTTTTTGTGGCGCAGTAGGACCGGTCCTGAGGACCGACCAGTCCTCATACCGGTCTTCATATAATAAATGATTTTTATATTGAATAAACCTATTAATCTGACAAAGGTCTTCATAAAATAATATAAAGACCGGCCATTTCAAAACCAATAAATAATAACAATCACTCTTCCCACTTGTAGAGTTGCTTGTCAAAACGCTGAAACTCCGAAACTCCAAAAAAGCGTTTAAGCGGAATATCTCATCATTCAGTGATCATAAAAGGATGAAACCACCACCATTCGAATCGTCTCAGCGAGACGCGTCGAATGGTGACTAAATCATATTTCTAGGATCGATAGATAGTCAGTAATTATTAAATTTATTATCAAATAGTTTTGCCGACGTAATTTTTTTTTATCGATTCTAAAATCATGATTTTGATACCATTCGACGCGCTGCAGCGAGACGATTCGAATGGTGGTAAAATCATCCTTTTATAATCACTGGATAGCGAGATATTGCGTTTTGAAGTATTTTTTCTCAAAGCTTTAAATTTTGCATGACGTTGTGATGATATCCAGGTGATTTGTAAAAAAAAAATTTATATTAAAAACCATCCCAATTAGTGTTCATTTATAAAACAAGGCTATTCCTAATAAAGTTAGGGAAGAAAATCTTTTTTTATTTGCAAAAAAAAGAAAAAAGACCGATCGGTCTTAAAAAGACTGCGGTCCTTAAAAAGACCGACGGTCTTATTATATGTGATACAGGACCGAAAGACCGCGGTCCTACACTAAGATGGACCGGTCCGTCTTTTTATGGTGTAGGACCGTAGGACCGCGGTCTTCTAGGACCGATGACCATCTTTACTTGCAATAGATAATGATTCATATCAAGCCAATTTAAAACGTGAAAAAAAAATTCAGTTTCCTATTATTGAAGAAGCTTGGATAGATAAAGCACTTCAAGCTGGACTTGTTCTTACTGAAAGTATTCTGGCAACAAAAGCATTAGATTTTGCCTTATTGTGTAATGAAAAAAAATTCAAAGCATCAAATGGGTGGCTTGATAATTTTAAAAAGAGACATAATCTTAAGCAGTACAATATTCATGTAGTGCACCAATTCAAGATCTTGATTCAATGAGAGAAAAACTTCGTCAAACATTAAGAGATTATGACCCAAAAGAAATTTTTAATTGTGATGAAACGGGTCTCTTCTAGAAAATGAAACCAAATCGTACAATATCTAATGGTCCTGTGACCAGAACTAAGCAATCTAAAGACTGTGTAACTATTTTATTTACCTGCAATTCAACCAGAACTGAAAAATTGCGCCCCCTATTTATACATAAATATGAAAATCCCAGAGTGCTCAAAAATATTAATAAAAATTCCCTCCCAGTCAATTATTATTGGAATAAAAAAAGTTGGATGCAGGTATCTATCTGGAACGATTATCTTAAAAAATTAGATTCTCATATAAGAGTACAAAATAGGCACATACTTCTACTTGTTAACAATGCTCCAACACATGCTTTATCTGAAAATACTACTCTCACAAATATTGTTATTGAATACCTTCTTCCAAATACCACATCTCACCTTCAATCCTGTGATCAAGGAATCATCAATAGTTTTAAAGTAAGAAGTAAACTTTATTTGTTCACTGTAAGTGTTTCAAATTTAATGTTGTTTTTTTATTTTAGGCACAATATAGAAAGTTGTATTTGCGTAATTGGGTTAAAGCTTTTGATAATTTCAATGAACATGGCACTGAACTTGATGAAATTGACATTAAAAAATGTATCAAATATATTGCACGTGCGTGGAATAATGTTACGAACGATACAATTAAAAATTGTTGGCTAAAAGCAGGTATTATACCTGAATATGGTGAGCCAAGTGATGATGAAAGTGTCAACCGTGAAGCTTATGAGAACAATGCTGATATACAACTTGAACTTGAACGCCTAAGGGAGTTGGAAGAAGTTCAAGTCTTAATAAATAAACTCGGTTTCGAAAATTCTTTCACAGCTGAGAAATTTGTTCTTTATGACGATTTTGAGGTAACAACGGAAATGATTTCTGATTATGAAATTTTAAAAGCAGTTCAACCTAACAACCAAGAAAAAGAAGAAATTGAGGAGGAACCTTTATCAACAATAACTCATAACGAAGTTATTAAATGTTACGATAAAGTGATCTTATATTTACAATGTCAGGAAAAAAATTATGGTTCAAATGATGAGGATATTAAGTTTATAAAAAAATTAAAAAAAGAAGCTTTGAGAGAACGCTTTTGTTCTACAAAGCAAATCAATCTTGATAATTTTGTTAATGTAATTGAATAATTCTATTAATAAAAATTTATAATTATATCGATTTTATGCTGACATAATGAATTTGCACTGTGACGTATTAAATTGCATTGACATAATTAATTTTTATTATCAACAAGCTAAAATAAAATTTTAAAAAGTATTTTCCGATCAAGCAAAATGACGGCTACAGCAAAATCATTTAAAATAAATATTTATTCCCGCTTTAATAAATCATTTGCTGATGAAAATATCATTGACTGATTCTTTATTCATAACACTGCATCAATCATAGCTTTTTTAAGGCTATTCCCTATAAAAATAAAGAAAAAAGAAACATTAGAACATTTCTTTAAGTCAATCTACAAAAACTCCCTCCATTCAACTTACCCGAGGTCTCCAATACCGTTCCCAAGTTATTTCCTACAAAAATAAAGAAAAAAAGAAATGTTAGAATGTTTCTTTTTAATTAATTTTACAAAAACTCCCTCCATTCAACTTACCTGAGGTTTCCAATACCGTTCCCAAGTTATTTCCTACAAAAATAAAGAAAAAAGAAATGTTAGAATGTTTCTTTTTAATTAATTTTACAAAAACTCCCTCCATTCAACTTACCCGAAGTCTCCAATACCGTTCCCAAGTTATTTCCTACAAAAATAAAGAAAAAAGAAACGTTAGAATGTTTCTTTTTAATTAATTTTACAAAAACTCCCTCCTTTCAACTTACCCGAGGTCTCCAAGACGTTCCCAAGTCGTTCTCTACAAAAATAAAGAAAAAAAAGAAACGTTAAAACGTTTCTTTAAGTCAAATCACAAAAATTCCCTCCATTCAACTTACCCGAAGTCCTCCAAGACCGTTTCCAAGTCTTTCCCTACAAAAATAAAGAAAAAAAGAAACGTTAGAATGTTTCTTTTTAATTAATTTTACAAATTCTCGCCTTTCAACTTACCCGAGATCTCCAAGACGTTCCTACAAAAATAAAGAAAAAAAGAAACGTTAGAACGTTTCTTAAATTAATTCCTCAAGCTCCGCTCCCTCCATTCGACTTACCCGAGATTTTCAAGACCGTTACCTGTTGTTTCCTGCAATAATGAATAAAGAAAGAAACATTAGAACATTTCTTTTAAGTTAATTCTCCAAATTTCCTCCATTCAACATTTATTTCAACTTACCCGAGGTCCTTCAAGACCGTTCCCAAGTCATTTCCTACAAATATAAAGAAAAAAGAAACATTAGAACGTTTCTTTACCCAAACTCCTCTTTAGAACTTTACCATTTTTCGTTTTTCCCTAAAATCTAGAAGTCCGTTTCCTACAAAAATAAACAAATCCCTTTTTTTTTAAGGAAAAACTGAAAAATTGATTATAATTATTAATAAAACTATTTTTTTTTTCAGTTTTTTAAACTGAATTTATATTCGGTTTATTACTAGTAACTTTTTTTTTTTAAAAAAAAAATTATCCACAACGATCAGTCGATCAGTGGTAAAATCGATATAAATCATATGACCGAAACGAATTATTCAGTATAACATAAGGCCAGTTCATAATTGTTCGATCAGCATTTTTGATCGGGTTACACTAAAATTGTGACAAATAAAATTCACCTCGAGAACGATCAACTAGCCGATTTTTTGACCCACCAAAAACATAGATCGCTATGATCGAGTTGATAAAATAAGGGTAAAGTACGCGTAAAAACGTATACTAGACGCGTTTTTTCTTTCTTATTTCCTCTCTACCAATGGAATTTCTGAAAGATCCTTTAAACAACCCTCAAGTAAATATTTCATATAAAAATAACAAGTTACTAAGGCCTATTAAGCCTAGAAATTTATACCCTTCGCCTTCTACTGGGATTTGTGAACAAAGTAATGTGGATTTATACCAAAATCCCTTACTAACAAGACAAAGTTATGTTGCTCCTAGTTTTTATATACAAAATGGAAGCAGTTTTGGCCAAAGCTTTTCTGGGCCTAACTATTTTGAGAGAGAATCTGCAGAGTTACAAAGATATCAAAAAGAAAATGTTGTTGATGATAAAGTTTCTGATGTAGAAATTAATCATCAACAAGAAAAAGAAAAGATTAATGACGAAAAAGAATTAACAGTGAGTAAAAGTACTTTATTAATTTTTTAGTTGTAATTTATTTTATTTTAATTAAAATTAATTTAGGATGTTAACTACAAAAAGAAATCTAATAATAAGCGTAAATCTGGTAATGAGGGCGAGTCTAATAACAATTGGCAAGTCTATGAAGTTGATATTTTACTTCAATACATTGCAGATAATTTTGATGAGTATACAAAAGGTAATAAAACTAAATTGTTTAATGAAATGTCCGTAAAGGTACTAAAAAATAAAGAGCCTAATGCTATTAAAAGCAAGTTAGCAAGGATGATCAAATACTATGGTGAGGTTAAAGCTCATAACGAAAAATCTGGTGTAGAGAGAAAAGACTGGGATTGGTATGAGAAAATGGATGCTATTTTTGGTACTCGCGAAAATATAGCACCTTCTTTTATAGTAAATAGATCTACTGATATTGATGGCGAAGAATCTTCAGGTATGGAACCTAAAACACCTAAAAGATCAAAAAAAAATAATGTAGATACTATTGCTATGGCTATTTCTACAATGAGTGAAACTAGAGAAAGAGTATGGGAAAAGAAGCTTGAGTTAGAAAAAGAAAGGATTGAAAAAAATCATACTATTGAAATGGGTAAATTAGAAGTAGAAAAACAGAAATGGGAATTTGAAAGAGAGAAAATGAAAATGGAGCATGAATTAAAATTGAAAGAGATGGAATTTAAACAATCAAACAATATGAACTAATGAAATAATATTCTCTTATAGGATAATCTTAGTATATTTTTTTTTTCTAATAGCTTTAATATAATTTTCTTTTTTGTAAATAGTGATAAGTTTATGTAATAATTTTACAATAATAAAGGTTTTATTTTGTAGTGTTCAATATTTGTATATACTGTTTGCACAATATTCATAATAACATTTACAGATGACATTCATATAACGTTAATATTATGATAAATTTATTTAGGAATTAAATGAATTTTATTAATGATTAATAATTAGATTCATTAATTGCTCTCTTTTTCTTTCTCCTTCTCTTTTCATTACTATTTCATTTTGATTTATATCTTCATCATTATCACTATCATCATCACCATCTTCATCATCATCATTTTCATATAATTCTTCTACATTATCATTATTTAGTTCTAAAAAATTATGTAAGATGATTGCACATTCAGTAATTTTTACAACAGTAGAAATATCTCTAACATTTAATTCTTTTAAAGCAATAAATCTGTTCTTTAATCTTCCAAATGCATTTTCAACTACTACTCTATGTAAAGAATGAATTACATTAAATCGAATTTGTGAAGGATTTTGAGAATTTACAAAAGGTTTAATTAAAAAAGTAGATATAGGATATGCAGAGTCTCCAAGTAAATATTCTTCTCCTTTAATAATTTTAGAAAAATTTCGATAAAAGTATGAATTTTTATAAAACTTAGCATCATGAACTGAGCCAGGCCATCCAATCTCATAATCTATAAACATACCTCTGTAATCTACAATTCCTTGCAATTGTATAGAATATCTTTTTTTTCTGTTCCAATATGTTTCAGGTTGCCTTAATGGCGCATTTGCTAATACAATGTGACTACCATCTATTGCAACTATAACATCTTCCATTTCGCCAATATTTTTAAATCCTTCATGTATATTCTGCTTGGCTTCACCTGTTGGCCATTTAACCAAAGTTTTTTTTAAAGAAAAAATCGCAATCATTACTCTTTTACAGTATAAATAAACGGTTCCTTCTGCAATTCCAAATCTTGAACATAATCCAAATATATCTTCTTTAGAACAAATTCTTCTCAAAAAAATTGCAAGTTGTAATTCAAAAGGAGCTTGTGAATGATTACTATTATTTTGAAAAATTGGATGAGTAATTAATAGGGAAACAAGCTTTTGAAAATTTATAGAGTTCATTCTAATGATTTTTTTAAATCTACAGTCTTCATATTTTGGTAAAATATAATTGTACCAATCTTTTGATTTTGCTACATGATAAGATCTTTGCTCTAAATATCTTATTCCAAGTAATGAGGTTAGTCCAAGCATTACCAAATCATCCTCTTCTTCTTCACTTGAATCACCTTCTTCCTCAAATAAATCTTCATTTTCCATATCTTGACAAGCTGTAATAACATAAAAAGATAATAATTCCCTTATTTTCTTGTGTTTAGACATTTTAACTGCTGTAAATTTTTAATTATACTTTATAAGAATAAAAGTAATGACTACGCGACAACTTTTGTATTCATAGATTAATCAATATATGCGATCAAGCATTTCAATTATGAACGTTGATCATGAAATTTAGTGTAACCCGATCAAAAATGCCGATCGAACAATTATGAACTGGCCTATAGTTACACCGAAGAATTCGCTATGTTACACCAAAGAATTCATTATAGTGTTAATAAAATTGCTTATAACGAAGGCCTGATCAGCCAGAACGCAGGGTTCGTTATATCGAAAGAAGACTGTATTTATACATATTTTGCATTAGGAGTTTGCTATTTATCACTGGCGGTGATCATCACCGCTATCACGTGATAATATTTAAATCACTTCGATTATAATTAATAAAGCGCATTAACAGTTAAATTTACCACAAACGTAATTTATTTAATTTATTTACAAAATGCCGCTATTCCTAAACTTAAACTCTAAAAATTTATAGCATGTTATACATACGCGTCTATCGTAATTCTAAAATTTGATTAAACCAATTAAATATAATACAATGTACATAGCGGCTGGTGCATTTTTATTAGCTACCCTACCAAACTCTACATTTACTAAACAACCCGTTCAGAAGCTTTATGCTTTGCGCAACTTCTAATATTATGACCTTTTTCTAAACAATAACTACACGTTATGGAAGAAAAAGTTATATTTTGTTTATTGGCCATTTCTGTTACCGCTTTATAACATTTCGGAGGATGGCCTTTTGGCTTGTGGTACTCTGGATTTGATATCTCTGGAATGCGATTATTATCTATCACAACTAATGGTTGTCGTTGGCAACTATCCTTTAAGGAAAGACCTTCTTGAACTTCTTCAATATTTAGTCCTGTAGTGTATCGATATTTCATTATAAATTGTGTGAGAAGTCCAGTCAGTTCTCCTGTTGCACCTTCTGTCACAGCAATTTGGACACTAGTTTTTGCCATAGACATCGCACTACCAAATTCGATCCTTTTATCAGCCGTTTTCTTAATAGTTGATGTATAAACGTTGCCTGTTCGAATTTGATCAATGTAGTGCAATAGTTTGATTGAGTAAGTTTTATTTCCTTGAGCAATTGTGGCGTATCTTGATGTTTCAGATGGCATAGACTCAAACCAACGCGTATGAATGAAGCCCATATGGAATACGGCTTTATCAGATTGAAGTAGAATACGATATTGATGTCAGCATGACATCCCTTGATTAATAATATTCATGCATGTACAAAATGATGTTGCGTCTGCAAGAATCGTTACATAGTGTGGTTTAGCTGTAGATGATGTTATCGTTATATAGCTAACCTCTCATATTTCCTGGATTTCGGTATTATTTAGGTTTGATAAAAGGTCTTGCAATCTGATTTGTAGCATATCATACATATATTCCACTATATCTGAAGGATTATTATCAGGTTCGTTAACCTTTAAATCAATTGGATTAGCATACTACAAACATTATATTAAAATGAAAGCTTTGTAACTACTCACTTGATCTATTGTAATTAATGTTCCCTGATATAATAATGCCTGTTTCATTTGTACCCTCTGAAGTGATAATGGTATAGGTGCTAAACATTCCTTTAAAATAGAATCAATGTCTTTAAAGATGGAGTCGTATGCTGATGGAAGACTAATTGTTGGGTTTGATCCATAATAATCATTAAGACGTTTGTAATATGATTCTTTATCTAATTCACGTTCGACTTCCCTTACTAGCTCCTTTAAAAGTGTACCACAGTCAAGATGCTTTTTAAGAACACCATTAATGAATTCGACCCATTGAGTTGACTCGACCCCTGCTGTGAATACCTTTCCAATAGCATACCTCGCCCATGATTCTCGGCTTGGATAAAGTTTTTTCTCAAGATAAGTTCGACATGGCTTATATTTTGTGAGCATCTCTTTATATCTTGATTCGAATTGGCATTGAGTATAGCTATTGTGCATGTGATGAAAATCTCCAATGAAATTATTGATCATCTCTCCATGCAATTTAGACTTAGCTTTCTTCTTTACATTTTCTGTAATATGATAGATACATAGTAGATGTCGAGTTTGTGGATAAGTCTTCTGAACGGCAGCTATCATCGCCAGATTGCCATCTGTAAATAACACAACAGGTGAAAGATTACTTGTAGCTTCTAAAGTGCATTGCAATATCCAATTATAGTCAGCTAACGTTTCATATTTTGTTAGTGCTTGAGCAAGGATCTTTGTTTTAAAGTTGTTGTCAATACCAACAAGTAAGCTAAGGGCCATTTCATATCGATTCGTCTTGGCTGTATTGTCTTATATGACAATATCGTGATATTTAGGCCAAAGTTCGTTATACTGTTGACTTGTCATCCAAAAAAGTCCAGTGAGTTCATTGGATGGTCCTTCCAATCGTGTTATAACAATAAAATCAGGATCCTTACTACGCTGCTCTATAAGATATGAGAACATCATTGCCGCATCAGACTCATCATGAATTCGAACTTCCCAGAACTTTTGAATTGCATTGTATAGATTTTTTTTCTTTATGTGATGTTGAGGAAATTCTTTAAGAAGGAGATCGTACTGTTGTCCAGCACTTAAATGTCCATTGATGGTGTAATGTTCAATTTTATCCAGAACTACTTGTGGAAAACGTTGATTCATAGGAGCGAGTTCTATAGTTACTGGATCACATTGATGATTATGAATATTGTTGAATTTGGTAAGATGTATAGCAGTCACGCGTTTTCCAAAATTAAATGATGCTTGCCATGAACAATTTGTTTTGGTTGTAGTAGCATCACGGTGTAATGTAATATCTTCGACTTTCTTCGGTTTACTGATTCCAGATTTCCAACAAGTATAGACACGTCGTCGAACGATCATTTTATCAACTTCATCAAGATCTTTACGGAATTTAATAGCAACAAATCCGTTTTGTTTTGCGTACTGATTGATAATTACATCAACCTCGTTTCAGTCTTTAAAAGTATCACCAACTTTTAGTATTACTTTGTTTGCATTCGTGTTTTCATCGTTATAACGTCCATTTGTATTTTCGTTATCATCTATAACTACAATGTTTGTAGTTTGGAATGGTGATTGGCTTTGATGATCAAACTCTATAAGCGGCGTTATAAAGTCAGATTGGCCTTGGTGATCGAACTCCATAAGTGGCATTACAAAGTTAGTTTGGGATGTTGATTGGCCTTGATGATCAAACTCCATAAGTGGTGTTACAAAGGTAGTTTGGGATGTCGATTGGCCTTGATAATCGAACTCCATAAAAGAAATTACAAATGGTTGATATTCGAACTCCATAAACGGAATTACAAAATTAGTTTGGGATGGTGATTGGCCTTGATATTCGAATTCCATAAGCAGCGTTACAAAGGTACTTATCAAACACGGTTGGTACTCTTTTACAGTTTTACCTAAGTCTTCTATACAAACTAATTCTTATTGATGTAGGTTGCAAAGTGAAAGGTAAAAATGAAATCAGCGAAAACAACAATAATGAAATTAAATACTTTAGATACTAGTGATACTACTTCCTTACCTTCAAATTATTTATCAAACCACTTATAAATTGGCAACAATCGTTAGCTAAAGAAATCTTTATGGGTTTTAAGTGAGATACAAGACTGTCACAGGTCGAAATGCTAAAAATCGGCAAAAAAAATGGCGTGAAAAGCAGTGGCTATTCTTGGCTATTCTTGGCTATTCTTAGCTATTCTTGGCTGTTTTTGGCTATTTGCGAATTAACCTATACTATTTGTAAATAGTTTATATAAATTTGCGAATAGTTTATGCAATTCTAGCCATTTTTTTTGCCTGTTTTTGGTCATTCGACGTGTGTGTGAGAGAAAGTAACCGTGATAAAGCTAAACAATGACGAAAAGCATATGATAAAGTCGAAAACAATCACGCGTTGTGATAAATAATCATGCGTATAAAAAAATTTGCATGACACTGGTGATGATCACCCCTAGTGATTTATAGCAATTTTATTTTTTGGAGTATAAAAAATTCGCATGACACTGGTGATGATCACTGCCGGTGATTTGTAACAATTTTATTTGCATTATTATAAAAATTAATTTTTTTAAAAAAAAATAAAAAAAATATTACTAAAAAGTTTATAAAAATATTTTTACTATTATGTATAACCACCTTTAACATTAATAACAGCTTAGATTTTTTCTGGTATTATCTCAATTAATTTAGTATATATTTTTAATGCCGTTTTATTCTAAATTTGAAAACATACTTTTATACTGTATATAGGTTTAATGATGACCATTGTCATAAAATTTTTCTTGTAAATTGAGAATTATCCTGGTAAATTAAAATAAATGGTATTACAATTTTGGAATAATAAAGGACTTATAATTTGGCAAATTTTATCAAAACAGTACCATTTCTACAGAATTTCTAATTCAAATGTTGAGAAATTTTTCAGTATATAATTATTAAATTGTAGGAAATTTTAGGTAAATTTTTAGTAATATTATATAAATGTAATGTAAATTGTGGTAAATTTAGTCAAATTTTTAGTAATATTATGCAAACGTAATGCAAATTGTAGTGAATTTAGGTAAATTGTTATACAAATTGTAGTAAATTTAGTAATTTTTAGTAATATTATATAAATATATATAATGCAAATTGTGATGAATTTAGATAAATTTTTAGTAATATTATATAAACGTAATGCAAATTGTAATGAATTTAGGTAAATTGTTATACAAATATAATGTAAATTGTAGTAAATTTCATCACGTGCATTTAAGTATTTACTTAAAATACTAATAAAATACTTAACATATCAGCGGATTTGTTCACTTTTGCATAATGCTAAATTTTGAATGATTTTCATAATATCCGTCACCCAAAACTGGTTTGTAATGTCATAAAATCACCTGATTGAATATCACTTGACTAAATAATAAGTAGAGTGAAAATATACATTTGCAAAACTTAAATTATTTAACGTAAAATAGACACAAAAAAACCCATTTCGTTAACAAAAAACCCATTTCTCACCCGCATAGTATTTTTAATGTGTATTATTAGAAAGTAAGTATGTTTTAATAAAACAAAAAGTAAAATAAAAATTTATATAGACACAATAGCTATGAATATTTATAAAAGTATTCTAAAACTCATTTAATATTTAAAAAATTTTTTTTTTTTATAATAACTTTCATAAAATTGTCCATTTTTTGCATTTTTCAAAACATATTATTAATTCTTATTTATCTTGCTGTAGACAAAATAGGAACTTTTATATTCAAACAAATTGTAAGCATATGTATTATTGATTTTTACACAAAAAAGATTTAGAAGCTATTGTATAAAGTGAGATTTCACAACAGATATTATCAGTATTGCTAAGAATAATATTTATTGTATTTTGGTTTAAAAGAACTATTTATCAAATTTATCAAATTATTGTATTAATAAAACTAAATGAAATTTTTTTTATGTTCGTTCCAGGTCCTACTGCGCCATATGTAATAATTTGTGTAACAAAAGTACCTTAAAATAAACATGTTAATTAGAGGGTGAACAAATCCGCTAATATGAAAAATTAAATGGTTAATAAATTAAGGTTGCTTGTCGAAATTAAGTAATTTAGGCCAAGGCCGAAACTTTTTTGTAGCCGAAAGTTTAGGCAATCAAAAATAAATTTGCCGAAATTTATAATGCTAAAATTATTGCCAAAAGTCTGAAATTTGACCAAAATTATTGGTATAATTCTAGCCATTTTTAAGACGTAATTCTGGCCAGAAAATGATTGATATTATAAATTTCCTTTTTAGAAATTTGTGTAACCTTTGTGAAACTGATTTTACTAATTTTACTAGAAAACAAAAATTGCTTTTTTTGGAAATTAGTGTAACATCACATAACACAATGTCATAATTTCGGCTGAATTTTAATTTTGGCTAAAATTAAGACAGAGTTTTGGCCTAATTTTGGCATTTTCAGCATTTAATTTGATTGGCCGAAACCTTTCGGAATTAAAAACTCTTTCTCGTTGCTTTTTTGATCAAAAGTGGAGCAAAAGTTTGAACTTTCTAAAACCTTTATACGTACTTTCTACCTTACTTTTTAGTAAATTTTTAGTCAAAGCTTCGGACTAACGACTATGTCAAATAGCAAAACTTCAAGAAGAACGGCTCAACAGCCTGTCATTCTTATCGACAACCATAACTCAACTCTTCATCCTGCTTCCTCCAGCAAGCATACGAACAAGAAATCCAAGGTCTCTTCTGAGCTTTACACTTTACAGAAACCAGTTCAGCCTACTTCAACTGAGATTGATGAAAGCATTATTAAAGACGCTTATGCGCTTCCCCCTGGCACCGGCGATATTGCCAATACTCCTTTGACCTTGGACGTTTCGCCCAAGAATCCACAGCATAAAATTGATACTACAGACGCATCATGTTCTACTGCCCAATCCGGTGGATCTGTATCTACCGATATGGAAATGGATCAACCCATTGATCCTGCATCTACATCTACTCAACAAAGAACAATCCCCGTAGTACCAGTAGATTCTATTCTGATCTTGCCTAATCTGGTTATTGCGACTCCTGCAGACACGGTTAAAGGCAAAAGTGCCTCTGATAAGAAAACTCACATTAGGAGATTTTTCGGCACCAATGGCGTTGCTACTGCTTCAGTACGTAATGTGGCCGGAAAATCCTATGTCTGCGCTCATTTCAGTGCACAATCAGATGTTGATGACGCACTCAAAAGAGATACTGCGTCACTAACTAACTCGCAAAAAGAAGGTGCTTCTGTGCCTACCTTTACTTTATTTACTACTATCAAACCGGATAAGACTGAGGACGAAAAGGCCGCAGCAAAAAATTGTACCATCCAGGTCATTGATATTTATTTATATAGAAAAGGTGCCAATGTTCGTGCTGCTTTCAGTAACTTCGGCAATATTGTAAAGCTATCCTTGGTAACTAAAGGTTTATACCAGAATGCATATATTCAATTTGATTCGACTGTAGCATCAACTTATTTTACTGAAAATGCTTGGTCACATTTCATTTATGAAGACGCTGTTAGGGTTCTTCCAGGACCCCGAAGAATACATATAATACTGGGATCCAATTTTGTATAAACTTACTATGTAATTTCTTAATAAGTCATATGTTTGAAATTGTATAACCAAATAGCAGTTACGCAAAAAGTCAGATTTTTATTTGTATAACAATAATGATTTTTACAATAAGTAAGATTTTCATTTTGTATAACGGATATTAGAATTTTTTTTTATATATGTTTAAAATTTTTTAAAGTTTTTTTTTATTTTTAGTTTAAGAAATTTTTAAGATATTTTTTAATAAAGAGTTTTTTTATTTGTTTTAAAAAACACTTGAAATATTTTTTAATAGAAATTGTTTTTTGTTTAAGAAGTTTTTAAGGGTTCGTTTAAAGACATTTTTTTAATAAAAATGAAGAAATTTTTTTAAAATTCATTTACAAAATTAAAAAAAAATACATTTTATTATATATCTCAGCATCCAGTGATCATAGAGAAATGAAACACAGCTTATTAGATTCGTCTCAATACGATGAGTCGAATGGTGGTAGTTTCATATTTCTAGGCGCGATAGATGCCGAGTTATGTGATAAAATGTAAAAATGCACAGTAGACGAAAATACAAAGTGCCGATGTGTGGTATAGCTCATCATCTATCACACCTAGAAACACGAAACTACTACCATTCGATTCGTCTTGTCAAGACGAATCCAACGAGCTGTGTTTCATCTTTTTACGATCACTGGGTGGTGAGATATATAACAAAATGTATTTTCTTTTATTTTGTAGTATACACCCAAATTTTTGCATAAAACTTACTATATTATACATATTGGGCATCAATATCTATCGGGTATTTAAAATTCTAACATGCAATTTTGTTTAAAAATTTTATTTAAGTTATTTTTTAATAATTTTTTTTAATAATTTTTTTTAAAAAATTTTTTAAGTATTTGTTAGAATTTTTAAATAGTTTTTAATAATATTTATTAAAATTTTCAATAAAATTTATTTGAAATTTTTCTTTAAAAATTTTTTTTTTATATAAACTCAGATTTATAATTGTATAATTTATAATAAAATTTGAACTTATGTGATGATTTTGTATAAAGCTTCTAATAAAATTAGGCGTATAAAGTTATATTAAAATTTTGGGTCTGGATCTGAGTTGTATATGTATTCTTCGGGGTCCTGTTCTTCCCTTGACTTTACCCAAAAATAAACAAGAAAATAGACAACTACACTGTTTTAAATTAACAGGTCTTCCTAGGAATACCAATGCTAGAGATTTAGTGGGATATCTCAAATCTATTAATGCACGTAAATGCACGTTCTTGTTTTCTTCCAAGGAACGCTAAAAATTATCACACCTTTAACTATGCTTATGTCAATTTTTTGACTGAAGAGGACATGGTTAAGGCAGCTCAAACTCACCATTCATACAAAGGCAAACCACTTTATTGGACTTCTCCTGATGCCCAATGTTGTAATTTTTGTGGTAACCCTGACCATTTAGCAAAAAGCTGTGATGATCGTTCGCAACAAATTAATCGAAACAAGAAATATAAGAATATTTACAATCGTTTCAAACCTGCCCAACATAGAGGTAATCGTCAACAATCTAAAAAGAAATCCTTTGCTGATGCAGTCAAAGGTAAAAATCAAAGTCGTCCTGGGAATAATAATGGAAATAACCGTACGCCTAATCCCAATCTTCAAAATGGTACTACTAGTGGTGGTTCTATGCATGATAATCAATTAGTCGATTCTCAACTTCACCAAGTTCGCCAAATGATGACCGAACTTCAATCAATGTTTAAAGGTCTCCAAGCCGAAGTGACCGCTCTTAACAGGAAGGTTGATGACAGAATTAAAAATAAATCTGTTTCTCATTCTCCTGTTTTCAAAAACCTGTTCCTTTTGTCCCTGCTCCAATTCCTTTACAAACACAAAAACAAACTGCTCCGGTTTCTCAAACTCCTATCTCCGTTGCGATTTCTACTTCTTCTGCTAAACGTACTCATACTGATGTCGAATCTTTTGGTTCTGGCTCTGATAACGACAACATTATCAAACAACAATCTGAAATTAACAGCTCGATGTCACTTATGTCCAGCAAACTTGATAAATTTATTAACTACATGGGCTTTAGCTCTTCACCTAATCTCATCGACGGAGGCGATGATGAGGAGAAACAAGAAATGGACTATGATCCATCTACTCATGACAACGAAGCTGGTGGCGAATTTTAATTTGTCACTCCTTCTTTAACAATTCCTTTTTACGTATCTACTTTCTTTTATCAGTGTGTTATAATGAACGTTAATAATAATATTAATAATTCAACCCCTCCTCCTAATGTATCTACATTTTCTACTAATACTTCATCTCTTAAAGTAGCAACAACAAATCTCAAATCATTAACATCTGACAAACAACAATATTTGTTAAACATGTTGGAAAATCAAAATATTCACATTTGTGGTATTTCAGAAACTTGGCGCACTCAGCATGAATCTAATCTATTATATAAAAATGATAATAGATACCAAGCATTCTTTTCCGCTCCTCCTGGCGACCAGGCTAAAGGTTCGAGTACTGGGATTATAGTTTCCGCCGATTATGCTAGATTTATTCAAGATCACAAGGGTTTCAAAGGCCGTGTCATGAAAGTGGATTTTTTCATGCGTGGCAATCAAAAGTTGAGGGTAATTCAAATTTATGGCTATTCTGGACACAACAAAAAAGATATCACTGAATTATGGGATCATGTGATTAAACTTATTAAAGATGCTCAACAACAACATTATAAGCTTATTATAATGGGCGATTTTAATATCAACTACCACAAATTTTTGCTATCTCAACGGAAACCCAATTACAAACCTTCCTACAAACAAAAATTGTTACATTTTTTGACTTATTCTGATAATTTAGTGGATACTATTCCGCTCTATCATGATGTTACCAACGATAATCCATATAATACACACAAAAATAATTCAGGTCATCACACCAGGATCGATTATATCTGGATCTCCCAAGATTTAGTTAACGATACTTATGCTAGTGATCAATTTAATCCTCAATATTCCACAGATCATATGGTCGTGTACGTGGAGTTTTGGACCAATAATTATTTTAAACTCCCTTCTCATGCCAAACAGCGACAACGTAATCGACAAAAAATGATTTATATGTATGATGATATGTCTCAAGATGACTGGCTAGAATTTTCTCAACATACTAAACATTTATGTGAATTTCGACATCTTTTTGAAGACGAAGTTGATGATGTCTACGATCTTAACAGGCTATGGGACGATACTCAACATTCTATTAAAGAGGCCGCGAACACTTACATTAAATATAGACAAACTACCTCCAAAAAAGATGGACATCCCTTAAGATTTTCATTGCTATATCGTAATATTCGTTTTTTACAAAAATTGGTAATTAGGCTTACCAATAAAAAATTCTTGCATAATGAACTTCGCACCAAACTTCAAGATGACTGGTTTTGTATTAAAGCCAAACTTTTTGAAATTACTGGAACTTATGAATCTGAGATTAATTTAGATGGGTTTCTTACTAATATCAATTTGGCCGCAAATCGCAAACAAATTAAAACACTTTGCCGCTCTTTAATGGCATTATTTAGTACCAAAATGCAAGAATACAATGAAGAACAAATGAAAAATTTTATTAGTAAACGTTGCGAAGATTTTATTGACAACAAAAAAGCAATGATTAATTCGATTGCTGAAAGAGAAATTCGCACTATTGTTTTAGACCGTATTGTACATGAATCTTTTGCTGGAACAACCTTGGTTACAGATCCTGTTCAAATCAGAAAACTTACGAATAATCATTTTCAACTTTGTCCTGGTGCTGTGAATCAAAATAAACCTATTCCTGATCAATGGAAAAATCAATACAATCCTCTACCTCATATCGATCAAGATATTTATAATAATATTATGGATCCGCCTTCTTGGGATGAATGGGTTCAAAGTGTATCTGAATTACCTAATGGAAAGGCTACCGGTCCCTCTGGCATTTCGAATGAAATGATTAAACATTTATCTGACAAAATGCAACAAGTTTTGTTTAAGATAGTGTGTGCATGTTTTAAACTTCAAGAAATTCCTTCAGCTTGAAAACTAGCTAATGTATATCCTATCCCGAAGCCTAAACCTTGGGGGTGTAATTTAAACAATACTCGTCCTATTACACTTTTAGAAACTGTTCGGAAAACAATGGTTAAAATATTAAACAAACGTTTATCTACTGTTTTTATACAAAACAACATACTTCAAGGTAATCAATTTGCTGGTTTACCCCATTCATCAACTTTTGAGCCTATTCAGATTTTGAATGATGTAATTCAAGATGCTAAAAAAGAAAAGAAAGATCTTTGGATTTTGTCACAAGATCTCTCCAAGGCTTACGATCACGTTAATATTCATATTTTGCGGAAAGCAATGGTGCGCCTTCGTATACCTGAAAATTTTATTGAACTTGTGCTTTCTTTATTTACTAATAGAAAAAATTCAGTGTTTACTCCTGATGGTAATACTGATCCTTATGATGTAATTATTGGTATCGATCAAGGAGAGGTTATTTCACCGCTCTTATGGTGTATTTATTATGATCCTCTACTTTGTGAAGTCGAATCTAGATCCTTGGGATATAATTTTCAGGCATCCTACAAAGATAATATATATGATTTACAATCTAATATTATTAATCAACACATCTCATTAATGGCTTACATGGATGACACTCAATGGTTATCAGAATCTAAAGATAACTTAGAAAAAATTTTAGAAATTGCGGATGATTTCTATAACTTTACTGATATACAAATCAACAAACAAAAATCTGAACTTCTTTTACGAATTCAAAATCCCAATTTCAAATATAATGATGATATACAACTACATTTTGGAAATCAACAAATTGCCATTAAACCAGTTCATCCATCTCAATCTGTTCGAATACTAGGTGTCTGGTTCAACATGAACTGTTCTTGACGTTACGTTATTAATCAGATCAAAGAAGAAGTTCTTAAATTAGCTCTATGTATGAAATATAAACGTCTAACTGACAAACAAATGCTATATATATATAATAGCCTTATTATCCCAAGAATCGAATACCGTTCACAAATTACCATTTTTAACAAATCTGAATCTACTTCGGTAATAGCGCCTTTTAGAAAAATTTTTAAACACAAATTACATTTAGCGTTGTTTATTCCTAACGCTATTTTGAATAATAATTTTATTTATACTTTTCGTGATTTATATGAATTACAACTTCAATCAAAAATTTCTAATTACAATTTACAAATCAATTCACAGGGTCTTTTAGGTATTATTACTGATATTCGTATTCGTAAATTACAACACCTTTTATAGCTTCCTTCCTCTCCTTTATTAAATTTCCCTTTTGATAAACCTTTTTTGTTAGTAATTTATAATTTTCATTTTAGAATGATTTTACTTTGTAAACAATTTAATTTTTCTTTTAACATTAATCATTTGAAACATTATACAATTATGGGTGGTAATATTGAAATTCGCTCTCTTATTCCACTTCCCCTTTTTATTAAAAGTTTAAAGGTTTTAAGAAACCGTTTCCTAATGTTTTTGGAACAAATTACTACTTTAGATGGTAAATCCTTAATTAACTGGGAAGATTTAAAATTTCGGCCTTATTCTCAATCGATGGCTTTGGTTTTTATTCCTTCCTGGTTCAAGTATATTAAAACTCATTCCCTTTTACCAAATTCATACTCTTTACCTCCTGAACTTCAAACTTCTTCAGCTCATAACTTTAAAGGTATATTTATTACTCATCCATCTTTTGACAATAATATTAAAGGATGGACCACTTTTTGGGTAGATCGTTTTAATTCCCCTTATTTTGGAAAAATTATTAAGAAAGATACTATAAAAAAGAAAATTTATGTTCAACACTTTTTATTATCTCGTCAAAATAACTTAACTTTTTTTGATCCTTGTCATGGGTGTGTTTTAAATAATCACCAAAATGGTGATTGTATTTTTATTATTCCTCATACAGATTTAGTTTTAATTCCAAAAAACACGATCACACAGGCTACTGTAAGACCTAGAATGTCTTTTGATCTAAGGGATCTTTTTCAACAAGCAAGATTTCTATTTCAATTTAATCGAAGATTAATTTCTTTTTATCAAGACTCGATTTTTGTCAAACAACATAATAATATCATCACTAGATATATAGATTTTTCGGAGTCACGAAATGATTTATTACGTATTCAACAACAATTATCAGATACTTCGACTCTTACTTTTTATACTGATGGATCACTTATAGATAATGGCTCTGAGTCTTGTTCAATGAGCTTTGGTTTTGCTCAAGCATGCGACCTTTCTCCAAAGGTTTTATTTACTTCTACATGTCAGCACTGGCCTTCTTCATATCGTCCAGAATCGTTGGCTATTCTTACCGCTATTATTGTAAGCCCTATTAATGCTGACGTTATGATATATACAGACAGTCAAAGTGCTATCGATACTTGGTTACAATTCAGGTCTACAAATTTTGATCCTCATTTACGATCTATTTTCAAATTACGAAGTAATCATATTGTTTGGAATCAAATTAATGAAATTGTTACTTCTCTTAATTTGAAACTTCAACTTATATATGTCAAAGCACACTCCGGTGACCCATGGAACGAATTTATTGACTCTAAATGTAGTGAAGTTCATAATAATAATAATAGTTCTATCATTACGCTTTTAACAGACAACATGAAAAATATTCATTATATCTTAAACTGGAACAATATTGAAGTTGAACAATCTCCTAGGAAATTCATATCTCAAACGTCTAAAGTTAGAGGTTTTGAAGAATTTTTTAATCTTGCACGAAATGTCAAATATCGTCGTACTAATATTGACTGGAAATCAACATTTGAAGTTTTGTCTGGTGATGATCCCTCCAATATTACCACTTTCAAATCCTCTCGAAAGAAAGCTGAAAAACTTAAATTTTTGATGGAAGAATTGCCTACCATTGAGCAAATAAAAAAATCCCTTCCGGATATATACGATAATTGGTTGTGTCCTGTTTGCAGTGACGTTATTGAAGATTTTAATCATATATGGTCATGTATTTGTCATGTAAATATACTTCAAAAAATTGATCGAGACTCCCAACATTTTATTTTGATGGCAATTAATAATAATATAAAGAGTGATTTTTGTCATGTTTCTCTCATAAATATTAATTCACTTGACAATTTTTGGGATTTTTCTATAGATAATAATTGTTTAACTTTTATTGATTTTATCAAAGGTTTTATTCCTATAACCTTGTCTAATTATCTTAAATTATTAATTTTTAATGATAAAGTCGTTCATACCATTATTGGAGATCTACATGATTTTACATATAATGAGGTAATGAATAATATTTGGAAACCACGATGTGAGCTTCAAGTTGTGTTTGAGAAAAATCTTTCTATTACAAAAAAGAAAAAATTAGATAGTCGTTTAAATTTTTCTACAAATTCTTCTTTTAATTTTATTAATAATGTTAACTTTTCTAGTGTAGATTATATAGAGAATAGTTTAGAATCATTACGTAATAATATATATTTTGGTAAAGATATTTTGGGTTTTATGCTGCACGTTAACTACGTGTCATTTATTAACTTTTATTATTAATTTTCAGTTCTTTAACAAATGGCCTCGTTAGCGAGCATTTGACACGGGGTTGGTCTGGGTAGTTGTAAAGCTTAGTTTAGTTGGTTTTACTTTGTGACGAAGACTATTTGAGCAGTGTATTCTACTTTAAATTCACCATGTATCACTTTTTATTTATAATTAGTATATAGAATTTAATAAAGTTTAATAAACAACGTGCGGCTTCTATTGAAGTCACTTTGCCGTAAAAAAAAAAAAAAAAAAAAAAAAAAATTACTTACATGCATTACACAATTGAGCTGTTACAGGTCCTTGTGTTTTATATTCGTCTATTACCATAATTTCTAACGTTCCACCAGTTTTCAAAACTCTTATTAATTCATTGATGACTTTCTCAAACCATTCATTATCAATGAATGCAAAGGTCATCAATCTCGTATGGACGAAGTCAAATGTGTTATCAGCGAATTGTATTCCGTCGAGAACGTTGCACTGCATGAACTCACAATTCAAAGGCATAACGTCCGAAGGATACATAGTCGCAATGTCCACGCCTACAAAAGTTGATCGTGGAAAATCTGTTGACATTTCTAACAACCAAGTTCCTGCACCACAGCTTAATTGAAAGTTAAATCAAAATTAATATATTATATTTTTCTCATTTAAATAATTAATTAATTATACATACCCAACATCTAAGACGCGGGCATTTTCCTTCAATTTATGTTCAATTGGTGCAGAGAAATTTTTTTGCCAAATATATTTAAAATNTTAAGGTTGCTTGCCGAAACCTAGGGGTTTAGGCAAGATGGCGTTTCACCGAAAAGCGAAATTCTGCCGAAACTATATTAAAGTTATATTAAAAAACTGGCGAAACTTTGGAGAAAAGCGAAACTGCCGAAACTTATTATAAATGCCGAAACTGCCGAAACTCTGCCGAAACTATAATAAATTAATAGTAAAATTTTGACGAAACTAATCGTAGGATTTTGAAGAGGTTTAGACAAGCAACCTTATTCTTGATTTCCTTGGCCATCTTTGTTTTCTTACTCAACTGATTGTTAGTATTAGTTGTTCGAATCTTGGAATCACTTTTTTGATTCACCTTCTAAGGGTGTCTCCTTCTTTGCTTTAAGTTAGGAGTAAAGTACCTCATTCAAACACCAGTGAATTCATCCAAGTTAAATGGCTTACCAATGACCTTTTCTATGTTAGTCCAAGATTTGTAATAAGTTATTAACTTAAGGGTGCCCTGATCTTGAATCAATTTAAATGCTTTGCACTCAAGAGGTGCAAGAATAGTTTGAGCAGAATTGTCCAGGTATAAAGTAGCTGTAGATACTAAAGCAGGAACTCCTTTAATTACAGCCTGAAATCACTCTCGTTCTTTTTTTTATTTGAAATTCTAGTTAGCCAGAAACTAATGTATGGGTAAACTTCCAAGTGGAGCTGTCCAAACTCCATCATTCCATAGTCTTGTTGTCTCTTGATTGAGTTTAATCGAAACTGTAATAGTAACATATTTCTGTTGAGATTTAAATTTAATCACAACTACTTGACCCCAGGCTTTAAGATGATTAAGCGTATCAAGTTGAGACTAGGTGGAGGGGATGTCATAAACCATAATTTTCCGAATAAGGTTCTTATTCACGAGCACATATCCAGTCATAATGGTACAAATAGTTTTAGGTGAAGTTGCAGCAGGTTGTTTCTTAGTAGTCTTGAAATGACTTTGACTATTATTAGCTTTAAAACAAGCGCAGTTTTTCTCTTTTTTTTCCCAGAAGGTGAAGGCGAGCTCAATCTGCTAACATCATCTTTCGGGTCCTGTTTAACCATGTTAGTATATAAAACTCGCTTTTGTTTACCTTTAGGTGTAAAAGGAGTAGTTTTTGCTGAGAGGTCACTCATTGGTTCTTCTTGTTGTGCTGCAGCTTTTGATTGGTGTTTGGGTATTTTTGGCGCTTCTGAAATTTCTATTTCCATCAGTTGATCCTTTACAGATTCAGACGTGTTTGGCATTTGTTTGGATGACATCATCTGTTATTACACAAACTTTCTGCAGGTACTTTCCATCCTTTTACTAACGCTGGATTAGATAAAGTCAAAAGACTTAAGAGTAAGTGGTATAAAGATTGTATGTCACTGATACCTAAGATTGAGAGGGCTTCATGATGTTCCATTAATAAGTTGGTAAGGTATTCTTCATCACCTGAATTTTTATTAACAATTCGAGCAATATCGTCTTCAGTTAAGCAAAAGGCGCTATATTTTTTCAAGACGTGGTTAACCGGTTCATAGTAAAGAGCTCTATCCATAGTTGTGTCAAGGTCGTTACCTTCAGAAAAGGCTTTGGAAATGTTTGGTGTCGACAAGGAAGCCATATTTTCAGAAAATTTTCCTTCAAAATTCCTATGGGAAAAAATGGTCCATGCGATTAGCAGAAAGAGTCTCTGTAGATTATAGAAAAATAATCTATAATAAATATTAAAATTTAGTACTTATTTAATATATTAAGCATTTATTGCTTAATAAATATAAAATTTTAATATTTATTAAAATATTGCTATTCAATAAACATAAGGTTTCAGTTGGTCCAACATCGTGATGTTAGTAATTTTTAGTAATGTTATATAAACATATATAATGCATTTAGATAAATTTTTAGTAATGTTAATATAGGACCTCACCTACTATTAAGATAGGTCATCCTGTGGCCTAAGGTAAGGTTTACATATAAAACTCTTTGAAAATCCTACTATAAAAGGAAAATTTATGTTACATTGTTATGATTTTTTTCCTTATTAGTCAACTAACCAATAAAACCCAAGCTAATCCTAAAGTAAGGTTTCATATGAAAGTGAAATTTCTACCAGTAACATATCTTAGTAGTAGCCGGGGTTCTATTAACAGTTAATATGTTATACAAACATAATGTAAATTGTGATAAATTTAGTTAAATTTTTAGTAATATTATGTAAATATAATGCAAATTGTGGTGAATTTGCATTTTTTTGGTAAATGTTAGCTAAATTTTTGAATAATTTAGTAAAATTTAAGATAATTTTGAACAAATGAGTGAAAATGTTGATTTTGGACAATTGAACATAAACGGTATAAATGCAATATTTTTGGAGACAATTTAGTGAATTTTGTAAAAATTTTGGACAATTAAGTAAAATTTAGTAATAATTTTAAACAATTTAGTGTAAATACTATGACAATTTAAAACACTGATTTAATAACACAGGTCAAAAAGTGAAAAATCAGGCACCAATCGGTACCTAATTGGCATTTTCGCCAAATACCGTCACCAATCAGACAGTTTACTAACTTTTGATCCAGTGATCAGAAAAGAATGAAATATAGTTCATTAGAATCGTCTCAACATGACGAATCTAATGGTAGTAAAATCTCATTTCTAGGATTAATACTTGATGAGAAATTAAGTAAAATATAAAAATAAAAATGGATCATTTATATTTTATTTAATTTTTTATTAACTATTAATCCTAGAAATGCGATTTTACTACCATTAGATTCGTCTTGCTGAGACGATTCCAATGAGCTATATTTCATTCTTTTCTGATCACTGGATCAAAAGTTAGCAAACTGCCTGATTGGTGACGGTATTTGGAAAAAATGCCGATTGGTGACTGATTGATGCCTGATTTTTCACTTTTCGACCTGTGTAATTTTACATAATTTATTATAATATTATTTATTAACAAATGTACAATTATTATTTAACGATAAGAATCTATATTAATCTATATTCATCAGATATCCAATGATCTATAAGTAATTTGCATCTCTAATTCATTCATGTATCTAATGTTCGATGACAAAGTAGAAGCTAGTAAAACTTACAAAAAAAAACAAAGAAATGTTAATTAACGTTTCTTAAAAAAAATTAATAAAAATTAAGTTTTGCAACCAATGTTGCAAAACTCATCAGTTTATTTTGATTTCCATTATTCAAACGTTTAAAACCTACAAAAATAAAAGAAAGAAACATTTAGTTAAAGCTCTAATCGGATCAGTTCTAATCTGACAATCCAGACTGAAAATTTGGATTGGCACAATCTGGTCCAGTTTCAGATTATAGATCTAATCCAGACTGAATTAAACAGGTTGGGACTGGACCGGACTAAGTAAACATTTTCGCAATGGTATTATATTAAAACCATTGCGATTGTTTAATTGTTAAAATAAAAAAATGTTGCAAAGCATTTTTTTTAATATATTATTATTAAAAAAACGTTTTCGCAACATTCTCTAATCAATTTAATGAAAAAATGTTGCAAAACGTTTTTTCAAAGCAATTTTAATTAAAAAAATATTTCGCAACATTTTTTTAATTAATTTAATGAAAAAATGTTGCGAAACATTTTTTCTAAATAATTTTAATTAAAAAAATGATTTTGCAATGTTTTTTTAATTAATTTAATGAAAAAATGTTGCAAAACATTTTTTCAAAGCAATTATAATTAAAAAAACATTTTGCAATGTTTTTTTAATTAATTTAACAAAAAAACATTGCAAACCGTTTTTTCAAAGTAATCTTAATTAAAAAAAACGTTTCACAACATTTTTTTAATTAATTTAACAAAAAAACGTTGCAAAACATTTTTTTAAAGTAATTTTAATTAAAAAAACGTTTCACAACATTTTTTTAATTAATTTAACAAAAAAATTTTGCAAAACATTTTTTTAAAGTAATTTTAATTAAAAAAAACGTTTCACAACATTTTTTTAATTAATTTAACAAAAAAATGTTGCAAAACGTTTTTTCAAAGTAATTTTAATTAAAAAAAATGTTTCACACCATTTTATTAATTAATTTAACAAAAAAATATTGCAAAACGTTTTTTCAAAGTAATTTTAATTAAAAAAACGTTTCATACCATTTTTTTAATTAATTTAACAAAAAAAGGCAAACTGATTAATTTATTTTACTTTTTTTACTGAAAGAATTATCCCACATTTCAAAATAAAATTATGGAATTTTATTAATCATTATAATTTTATTGAATTTTGAAGTACATAGAAAAACTAAATAAACTAAGATACAAAGAAAGATTTAGAAAGTAAAATCTAAATACCCAGTGGATACCATTTTTTAGTGCCTAGACTACAATCACAAGAGGACAAAATTTATGAGATTCCGTAGCATTAGCGCAAAATAGAACAAAAACTCAGCTTTTATCTTATTAAATCAAAAAATTATCTTAGTAAAAAATTAAACCAGTAAAAAATCTCATTTCGTTCTTATATAAATAACTTTATAACCAATTTTCTTGTATTATATTAATATAAACTTATCCTATCTTCTTATGACCTGCAGTTGCATCTGTACCAAGTGTTTGATCAGATTCCATTTGAAAAAAAAGTTCCGTTTCATCAGCATTATAAATATCTTCTTCGTTATAAGCAGCTAAAAGTTAATCGTTCTTTTGGAAGAGTTGCAAGTGGAGCACTACTAGCTTCTCCTGAAAACCTAATCTTTTGAAGACTATTATGTTTTTTAAACCTATATACCCACCCATTAGTAAACTTTAACTAATCTTCACTAATATTCAACATTTGTGCCAGTTCCAGTTCTTTTTGTTGTAATATTGTATTAGTTAAAGGAAGTCCAGCAGCTACTGCTTGTGATGTCCAGATTTGCAAAGCCTTATCGAGTTCTGGAAATTGAACAGAATGACAACAAAAAATGTTTGAATTTGAAAGAGCTGTTAACCATTTTTCACGATTTTGCCATATTTTTGTAATGGTTGACCTATCAATATCTAACTTATATTTTGTATTAAAGAATAAAGTAACATCAGCATATTTTATATCAGTATTTGCTAACATGTATTTGCATATTTCCTTTTTTATATCAACATTAATAGCAGTTCGTTCTCTTTTTGTTTTTTGTAAACGTGTAGGCGGCATTATGCTTTATACTTTTGTAAATAATTTTTGTAAAAAAAGGAAAGTTGTAAGATTCATTTTGACATGAAAAATTTTGTAAAAAGAAAAATTTGAAGCGTGTTGTTTCTTCAAAAAAAAAAAATTTTTGAAATGTAAAATTTTTCTAAAAAGAACAATTAAAAGTGTGGATTTTTGTAAAAAAAAGGAATGGTTTGATGTGTATATTTTTGTAAAAAAGGAATGGTTCATATGCACAGATTCGCAAATATATATGAATCACGTGATTTAATGTGATTATATATAGAGGGAATTTTATTTATAAAAACTAATGATATCGTTCTAACAATTTGTGTGACAGTGATTATACTTATATCTGTGATTATAAAGAAGGTGTTTTATTATTTAAAAAATCAGGCCTAACCACCATATGACTAAAGAGAAAGAAGTGACTATATATGGGGTAACTATAGAGGGAGTCGACTGTATATCCTTTCAACTATTTAAATATATCTATTTTTTGAATAGTATTTTAGATTATATTTAAGAAGTTTCTTAAATGAATAACAAATACAAAAATACCACATTTCTGATATTTTACTGCTATAGTTGTTAGATTTAATCATTTTACGAGTGTAAGAAGTTTATAGCAATTTATAGTTATTTTAGTGATTTATAGTATTTTTTAGCGATTTTAAAGATTTATAGCAATTTATAATAAGTATATTATAATAAATATCAGATTCATTTATTTGATTTATTACAGATATTATATTATTATTCAGTTAAATTAAATCCAATCATTATAGATAGCTAAATTATGCATAGCTAAAATTTGTATCACATAATCTCCCAGTTTTCTACCAGTTTCTCAATAGTTCTAGAAGAATTCTAGGAGTTAGTAAATTTTTACAAATCACGAAATAATCAGCTGATCAGATTTGATCGATTGACATACCGTATTTTATCAAAATTAAGCATCCCTTAAAAATAAGCACCCCTCTTATCTTGCATAACTTCAAGCAAAAATTAAAAATAAGCATTATCAAAAATAAGCATTCCTATATTTTATTAATATATGATTTACAAATATAACAATTAAAATAAAAAAAAATTCCTATTCACTATCATCATTATCATCTATATCAATTAGAGATTCTGGGCGAAACTGAAATATTTAGTCATTTGACTAAACCGAAATAGTTTAGACATTTAATAAAATTAAAAGACGAAATGCCGAAATTCAATATTCCATAGTATTTCCATGGATTTTTTATGGATTTCCATGGATTTTTAATTATAATAATTACTTATAAAAAAAAATAATAAATTTATATTAAAATATAATATTTTTAAAGAAATTTATAAAACTATTTTATGTATGTATAATATAATTTAATATATTTTTATAATAAAATTATAATTTTATATAAATAAAATTTAAACTTAAAAAATATTACTATATAGTTTAGTCAATGACGAAACCAAAACTAGTTGGTGACGAAACTGAAATTTTTGGCAAAAAGAGTTTAGCCAGGTATCACTAATATCAATAATTTCTAATTCCTTCTCTTTTCTTTTATTTTCAATTTCTTTGAGAAATTCATCAATTTCTTCATAAATAACATCATCTTCTGATTCATCTAATGTATTAGATATGCCACATTTTTTAAAAGAATAGACAATAATATCATCAGAAATACTTTTCCATGCACGCTTTATTTACCCATTCGCAAACATTACTTATCTTTGTATGTCAAAAATTTCCTGCTTCAGTATACCTAGCACCACCATTAAATATCCAAAAATGCCACTCTTTACAAAGATTATCCTTAAACGGTTTATTAATAGTAACATCAAGGGTTGATATTTACTGATTAAACTATCAGGAATTACTGCCAAATCAATATTAAATTTTTCTTTAACCGACTCTTTTAAATGCCCTTTAAAAGAATCAAAGACTATCATAGCTGGAAATCTGGATTGGTTATTTAAACTTCTTATATGATTAAGATAATCAATGTAATTATGTAACGTTTCATTAATTTAACATTCATCTATCCATTCTCTTGAAATCATACAATTACACCAGGAGGAGTCTTTTCGCTACGTGATATTTGTTTATCTTTGAAAATACAAATTGGTGGTAATCTAGTTCTATCTGTAATAAAAGAAAAATTAATAATCATATTAAGATCACTAAATTATCAAATAATTTTACTTGCAGTACATGTCAAAACAACAGTAAACTAGTTGTTTTTATTGCCTATTCTACAGATATGAACAGTTTTTCCCTTTTATATTAATCGTAAAGTTCCCAGCTATGTTAAACCATACAGGTATTTCATTCATGTTGAATATGTTGCATAATTCAAAAGATTTCTAAATTCTAAGGTAAATATCAAACTGGTAAAACTCTTCCAACTTTTCTTCTACATCAGGAAATTAGTTTAGGCGTAATTTAGTGTAATATTTCGAAATTTTACACCACCTTCGAAATATTACACTAAATTATGCCTAAACAAATTTCCTGATGTAATTGCTCAGGGAGTTTTTGTGATATTTTTATATGTCAACGCCTAGTGCTCCGAAACGAGTCGAGTTGACTCGCGAGTTGGTTGAGTTGAGTCGAGTCGAGTCGAGTTGAAAATTACAATCAAATCAAATCGATTCGAGTCGAGTTAATAATTTAATAAAATCGAGTCGAGTCGAGTTAAGCCGAATTAAACATAATTCCGGCCAAATTTATGGAATTTCCTTTTTTGGAAATTATGTTACACAAAATCCGAGACGAAAATTTTTTGAAAATTACAAAAATGGAATTTTGTGGAACGGCTATCGCCAAAAAAAGGTGATCGGCATAGCCGAATTAAAATCACGTGATTTAATTCGACTCGACTCGATTCGGTTTGACGGGCCAACTCGACTTGAATCGAGTCGAGTTTATATTTTTATAATTTTAACTCGACTCGACTCGACTCGTTCGGAGCTCTATCAACGCCTTATTAAATTATGCCTCTTCATAAAGGTATTTAACCAACCTGTAGTTGCTTTAAACTCCGTTGTTAAATCACCATAAAGAGCTACTATATCTGCTCTATCCAAAATTTTATTTATTGAAATTCTTATGGTTACAAATGTAACAGCTAATTCCTTTTTTCTTTGATTTAAAACCCAGTTATATAGCTTCTTTTCAGCTTCAGAATAGAAAGCCTTTTGACCAGAACCCACCCGCATATTTTTATCATTTATTTCACTTGTCCAAGTTTCACTTGCCTTAATCCAGCACCTAACCATAGTTTTGTCAATTTCAAAATGTCTGCCTACCTGAGTAGTGTAAGCAACAACAATTTTTTTTTGTTCAATAGAATACGAAGTATGTTGAAATTTAACCTTTGGCATTGTTTTTTCAGAGAGATTATGCGAGACTCAAAATTTGCGTTTATACGCGTAATTGTCATTTTTTTACTGAATTAAAAAAAGTATTGAAATTAAGCACCACCCCAAACTTTTCACTCAAAATCATTACAAAAAGGGGTGCTTAATTTTGATAAAATACGGTAATAGCTAAGCTACCATTAAATTTAATCTAACATATCACTTGATATTGTTTTATAAAATAGACCTTTAAAGAATCTTCTTACCATGTAAAAAGAAATCAACTATGGAGTTCTCTGATGCCAAACTTCACATCCTCATTGATGAATGAAAAAATAGAAATGCGGAGTATCACGCTACTACAAATAAAAATAAGTATCTCTTTTGAAATGAGATTGTGGAAAAAATAAATGATCAAGAAAATACTAATTACTTCACTGGCAAAGCTTGCCATAAAAAATTCTTAGGTCTTACAAAAGCTTTTTATGTAAGTAGCAATTGCTTGGGTTCTATGAGATATCTTGATAGCAAAATATGTTTATTATTAATCTATTAGATGGCAAAAAAGTATAAAAAAGGTAATGAAACCAAAAGAAGTTTAGTTGGCAAAGAAATTTACAAAGAGTTTTCAACAATATTCTGGTTAAAACCAGGTATGTTTCTGCTGTAGAATATAAGTGGGTGATTATCTCTAAATTAACACAATTCTATCTATCACTATTTGGTAGAACTTCCATTTGAGCAGGTATATAACGAAAATGTTAGGTCAAGTAGTGCGACGTAAAGAGTCATGGCCAGATAACATAGTCTTACTAGTATAAATTGTAGATGTACTAAGGAGTATGAATTTGCGCCGATTAACAACACTAATAAATTGTAGGTTATGAAAAACCAATCCTTTAGGGAACAATCAGAGTCGTAATTTCTCAAGTGAAACAAATTAAACGACACATTATTTTTCTAGATACATACACAGCATATGTGTATATATAATTTAAAAAGACAAAGCCAGCCCGACAAACATTAAATGCTTTTTAGTTCGTACTTATAAAAAAATGCCAGTTCACAACCACATTTACATCATGCAAGGAAGATTCAAAGTTGTATATATTTTTATTATTTCTGACACGCGTATACATTTAAAGTTTAGAAAACCTGAGATAAAAGCTAAATGCAAGTAACATAAAATATCTTTATATCAATATGAATCATTAACTTTCTTTATGGTTTTTTTATCCTTTTTTGGTGAATCTTCTAATGGAGTTATACAAACATTACTGTTTTGATTTTTTGACCGTAAATAACACATCCGCCTATATTAATTAAAATTAGCTACCATATAAAGAAAGTCCAAATAATTTTAGGTCTTTACCTGCCAATTGATTAGTTGCGCCATATCTTTAGAAAATTTTTCAAAATCGTCAAAGGTCTCTGGTACTTTGGTGCACATAAAACGTTCAAGAAGGTAGACTGACGGTAAGGGACGGATCAAATATTCGATTTTGAGATAGCTGTCTAAAAGTAATGTTTTTTTAAATATGTAAATAATTTGCACTTTCTTATATTCAACTTTTAATCAAATACCTACTAACAAATTGTACCAAGTAAATTCGTGTCTTCTCTAATAATAGGAATCAAATCTGCCTAAAATGAAGGATTTAAGAACCAAAGTTGGGATTTGTTTCCTATTATATACATGTTCATTAAACTGTCCAACTTGTTTTTTAAGAATCGTATTAAGGCATGCATATTGATCTTCATTTAAAGAATTTTCAACTTTTCTGCGTGTTTCTAAATCAGACAAATCCATTATATTATTTAGGTATACCGATGACACATGGTCCTCTTTAAATTTTCTTTCTTTATCTTGGATTGTGCCCAAACTTCAAGTAATTTTTCGCGAGTATTCCTCTCATTCTAGAGATTAAAGTATGAGTAAAGTATGAGTAAAGAAAATTATCATATGTAAAAGATAGCGAATGCCAAATACCTGTGTAAAACTCTCGATTTCTGCATTATCTTCAGTTATGTTAATCACTTCTGTATCGATCTCTGCATTAGATTCAGAATGAGATCCTGCGACTATATTTCTGCATTAGATTCAGAATAAGATTCTGTGATTATATCACTATTAGTGACTTTAGTCCTTCTTTTTGGTGGTTCGCAAGATGCATACAGCTCATTCAGCGCACATTTTTTAAATTTTTCTACAATTGATCTTTGTAGTGAAAGCCTTGATCTACGGTCTCTCTCGTCGCATTCAAAATATGCTGGGTCTGTTTAAGACACGTTTTGTTTTCCATTTCGATCTATTTGCAAACATTAGGAATTGTCATACTAAACGAAAGCCACTAAACTTCGAAAACATCATAAGGACAATGTACTTATTCCTTTTCAAGTAACTTGCATCTCTCCTCAAGCAATCTGATCTCCTTAAGAATATCTTGTTTTTTCACTTGTAATTCCCAGAAAAGTTTTACCTCTGCCGAGTTTTTATCGTGCTTATAAATATTAATTTTAAGGGGAAAAAGAAAAAAATGACGATTTATTAATTTTATCCTAACTTGCATGTAAGAAATAACATAAGCTAACTACAAATAAGTTAGCAACCTTTCCCATTACCAGTAAGCAACTAGCATGGTAGTTTGTGACAACACAGTACGAGTACACTACACACTAACACACCAACAAGTAAGCAACCTTTCCTCTGCCAGTAAGCAACTAACAATAATAGTTGGCAATGGCATAGTGTTAAATCAACAAATAAAATTTATACCTGCCTTGAACTTTTGTTTCCAAATCAACACCTTCTTCCTAATTTTGGATTCTTCATCATAGTATTTACTAATACTCTTCAGTTCATCTTTGTACCAATGATGCTCCACTTTAGGAATTTATTAAGTGAAGGTTCCTCTGTGTTTTTCCAGAAGTCTATATTTTTACAAACAACATGTTACGCTGTAAAGCAATTGTCTTAAGGAGATAATAGTACAGATTCCTTACCACTGTATTTTAAATCGTCGTTACAATTGGGTAAAAGGTGCATTTTTATATCGTTGTATGAAGAAAATTTTTACGCGTCTAGCAAAAAGTTAAATTTTCTAACCCAATTTACCAATTATAATACGTAATTTAGCTTTCAAAGTCACATGATTCTGATAGTAACTTTGGCTCAAAATATGCCCTTAGATGATTGGTTAAAAAAACAATCAACCCGATCAATCAAAATAGTTAAATAGGTGTTCGCCTCTGACCAATCATGTTTATTTGTTTAGATATAAAGTACGTGAATCCTAGGCTATTTAATGCGAGTCCCAGCATCAATTTACTCTCTTACATTTACAAAAAGTATCTATAACTAATTTGTTTATACTTCTATTGCCTAATTATGTAATTCTTACCTTACAGCCTTTTACTATACTAAATTTCTGAAATAAATTATCCCACCTATATTTACAGTATTTTTTTCTATTTATATCTCTCCTAAACACATAAAATATTATTTCTTGAAAATAGTATTGCAATCTGTTGATCCATCAATCCATTAATCCATGGATTTATCTAATTCAAAATTCATTCAAGTCATCTATTACTGTTAGAATTACGAATGGATCTGGATATACTTGCCGCCTATATTAAATGAGATGGGAGAATCCCCTATCCCATCCCATCCCATATCCCATCCCATTTGCCAAAATTCTCTCCCATTTGCTAAAATCCCATCCCAATCCCAAATTCCAATCCCATCCATATTCCAAATCCCAAATCCCATCTCATATCCCGAATAATCTCATTGGTCACTTATCACGTAACATTACACAAATTTCTGAAAAAGGAAATTTTGCTTCCCGCAAAAATGGGAGATTTTGGTTTTACAAGTATTTCAAAAAAGGAAATTTTTACACTGATCATATAATTCTGGTCAGCATTGCATCCATTACCAGAATATGAGCAAAATTAAAATCCCGAATAGGGATGGTAACGGTCAGTCATGGTCGGTTATCAGTCGGTCATAACTGGTCAAGAACTTTTGATCGACCGACTGACTGTTGACCGACTGGTCTAACCAACCAGTTAATCGCTGTTTGAATGACCGGTTAACTGATTCTGAAAATGTTTGTGAAACGTTTTCGCAACGTTTTCTATTAAAATAATTAAAAAAATGTTTGCAAAACATTTTTTATTAAATTACGTTTCGTAAACATTTTCAGAATCAGTTAAACGGTCAGTTAAACGGTCGATTAGAGGTCTTTGACCGACTGATATCGGTCATGGTCATGACCGGTCATAACCAGTTAATGATCATGACCGTTGCCATCCCTAATCCTGAACAGATTTACGAAGTTTATATTTTAACTCCAGCCGGAATTACAAATTATAAAGATTTAAATCCTTATTCTATAAACCCCAAATTTTAAGAGATTTACCAATCAGATTTTAATGAAATTTATATCTTTAGATTCGTCTTGATGCAAGGAATTAAATGGTAGTGAAATCATATTTCTAAAATTAATATTGACTAATTTATTATAAAAAATGTATTTTTTATACTATATATTTAGTGCTCTGAAACGAGTCGAGTTGACTTGCGAGTTGGTCGAGTCGAGTCAAGTCAAGTCGAGTTGAAAATTACAATCAAATCAAATCGATTCGAGTCGAGTTAATAATTTAATAAAATCAAGTCGAGTCGAGTTAAGCCGAATTAAACATAATTCCGGCCAAATTTATGGAATTTCCTTTTTTGGAAATTATGTTACACAAAATCCG